CCCAAAGAGAAGGAAATGAATAGTTGAAATAAAGTCGTTATTTTTGTTTGTTTTTGCGCACAAAAAGTATTCTCGTCGCTAGATAAACTTAAGATTGAGCCACTGTAGTCACTTGGACTATTTTAACGATGTCTTTAATAACTTTTCGAGGCCGGCAAGTTCAATCCCTGAAGAAGCCTATGGACTGGTATGGAGGAGTGATCCAGCTCTCAGATTTCATCAAAAATATCTTAATTCGTGTTCCGAAGATGAACAAAGGTCTTACGGGGTTGGAACAACATGAGGGTGAGTAATTACTGACAGAATTTTCATTTTTGGGTGAACTAACCCTTTAAAATGCAACAGCTCTAATTGTTGCATTGCCTTTCTGTTTACTTTATATTTCAAATTCATTCTGATCGGATCTGAATTGTCTCATTACATAATATCATACAATAAATCGAACAGCAGTCTAATGACTACATGGGCTGTAAATCCAGAGCTCGATGTTGTTGCACACTCTAGCAAGCTGTTGCATTCCATTGCAACATGAGTGAGTGTATCGAGATGCTGACAGGTTTAAAGCTTGAGTCCAATAGCAGAACTGTTTAATGCATGAAGCATGCACACACGCTGTGCCAAGAATCCCCTTATTGACGGGAAAGGGCAAACTCCAACCCCCGGCGAAGCTCGGCCAGGTGGATTAGCAAGTCAATGCTAACATCATGTGTGGGGTAATCTTACTGCAGACACATGTGACCTTTGTTAATGATTTCACTCAAAGCTGCAGGTGGTGTTTCAATTACAGCCAAATGAACTCTCCGGAGGGGTGAGTGCTTGGCAAAATAGTCAATTGCAAATGTGTACTCTGGTAGAAGTACTGCACTAATTTGCAATACAAATAATACCACCCTTCACTGGAATCATATACTGCTCTGGGCTGTGTAATTGAGCTCTGGTTCTTTTTGTCGATTTATAGACAAATTGACCTCTTTCCTTTCTCAGTGGGAATAACCCTCGCATGTACCTCATGATGTATGTTTATGCAAGGAATTCATGTTATGCCCTTGTTCATAAGACCACACCATGATGGCTCCAGATTAGAGTAATTTGTCAGATTGCTAATCATTAATCAGAACATTTGGAAACTATTAATATAAAACAAAGGGCTCGAGATCAGGGTCCGCATTTTTTTTTTTCACTGGAGACTGAATTAAGAAAATTTACCAGACTTAAATATTTCTTACTAACAATGAAAACTGTATTTTGCATTATTTCAGTGAAATATGTTGTAAGCAAAGTGCGGGGAATTGTCACCACCTGTCACAAAAACGATTTTATTATGCCAATGGACATTATGAAGGCTTAAAGGAAAGTTTTCCATTAAATACAAGATCATTTATGGCATGCAGTTGAGCAACCATTGTGTGTGTATATATATACACTCACCGGCCACTTTATTAGGTACACCTGTACAACTGCTCGTTAACACTTAATTTCTAAGCAGCCAATCACATGGCGGCAACTCAGTGCATTTAGGCATGTAGACATGGTCAAGACAATCTCCTGCAGTTCAAACCGAGCATCAGTATGGGGAAGAAAGGTGATTTGAGTGACTTTGAACGTGGCATGATTGTTGGTGCCAGAAGGGCTGGTCTGAGTATTTCAGAAACTGCTAATCTACTGGGATTTTCACGCACAACCATCTCTAGGGTTTACAGAGAATTGTCCGAAAAAGAAAAAACATCCAGTGAGCGGCAGTTCTGTGGGCGGAAATGCCTTGTTGATGCCAGAGGTCAGAGGAGAATGGCCAGACTGGTTCGAGCTGATAGAAGGGCAACAGTGACTCAAATAACCACCCGTTACAACCAAGGTGGGCAGAAGAGCATCTCTGAACGCACAGTACGTCGAACTTTGAGGCAGATGGGCTACAACAGCAGAAGACCCCACCGGGTACCACTCATCTCCACTACAAATAGGAAAAAGAGGCTACAATTTGCAAGAGCTCACCAAAATTGGACAGTTGAAGACTGGAAAAATGTTGCCTGGTCTGATGAGTCTCGATTTCTGTTGAGACATTCAGATGGTAGAGTCAGAATTTGGCGTAAACAGAATGAGAACATGGATCCATCATGCCTTGTTACCACTGAGCAGGCTGGTGGTGGTGGTGTAATGGTGTGGGGGATGTTTTCTTGGCACACTTTAGGCCCCTTAGTGCCAATTGGGCATCGTTTAAATGCCACGGCCTACCTGAGCATTGTTTCTGACCATGTCCATCCCTTTATGGCCACCATGTACCCATCCTCTGATGGCTACTTCCAGCAGGATAATGCACCATGGCACAAAGCTCGAATCATTTCAAATTGGTTTTCTTGAACATGACAATGAGTTCACTGTACTAAAATGGCCTCCACAGTCACCAGATCTCAATCCAATAGAGCATCTTTGGGATGTGGTGGAACGGGAGATTCGCATCATGGATGTGCAGCCGACAAATCTGCGGCAACTGTGTGATGCCATCATGTCAATATGGACCAAACTCCCTGAGGAATGCTTCCAGCACCTTGTTGAATCTATGCCACGAAGAATTGAGGCAGTTCTGAAGGCAAAAGGGGGTCCAACCCGTTACTAGCATGGGGTACCTAATAAAGTGGCCGGTGAGTGTATATATATATTTGTAAGTTTATTTAACCAGGAATATTAAGTCAAATGGATTTTTTTTTTTTTTTTTTTTTTTTTCATGACAATTAAAGAATTGTCAGAATCATTCTCAGAATGCAAAAGTATTTTTGCAATTCCTATAAAAGCTATGGGACAAAATATTATTTTCTCATAAAAACTCAATTTAATGCTTGAGATCAAGCAAATAAGCAGTCTTGTTTTGTTTGCTCTTTTAAAAAAAACCTTCTATCTGTTAAGCTATCAACTTAGGGTATCGTATCATACTTTTTTATATGTTCCCCCTGAGGTGATGAGGTCCACTTATGATGTTAAAGTTGTTTTGTTTTGTTTTGTTGCCTTTATGTTATTAAATCCCCTGTCCTCTCATAACCACTTCTTTGCAAAGCCTGTATCTCAATCACAGGATCAATCCACACTGAAGATGTACTACATAAAGAGTTAAGATCAGGCAGGATGGATGGGACAGATTAACAGGTGCTACACAGCCAGAAACAGGCTGGCAAACATCTGACAAAATCTCCTCATTATACTCTAATATTGATATATTGTTGCATAACTCTTATATTAAATTGGGGAAGTTTTTTTTCAGTTCTGGAAGTTGCAGTATGTTTTTATAGTGCATCAAGCTCTTTAATCTCAAAAAGACAGAACATTTTGATGCCTGATATGACTTCAAGTTTTTCTACTTTGAAAGATTACTTTGATTGCATCATGACATTCCTGAGACTTGAGCAGGGCCTGAAATTAACACCCGACCACCTGCCAAATGCGGGTGAATTTTGCTATTGGCGGGTAACACTGTCAATCTACCTGCCACATTGGCAGGTAGCCAATGAGAATTGAGTGATTCATTAGGTTTTTTTTTTTACGTTTTCATTTTCATTGCGTTGGACCTTAGCTATAATGTGGCGGCACATTACTGGGGTAAAAAGGCCAGCTGAAACAAACAACCATCAAAAAGATGAGGATGAGTCAAAGAAAAGTAAAAGAAGACATTTTAATACAAAGTGGTCAATTGGCGACAACGGCAAGGTTCGTGAGCGGCTGATTTATGACAGCGACTGTTGTTTCGTAATGTTCATGATACGATCAGAAAGAAGATGAGGCCCTATTCTGACTACGTTTGGATGTGCGAGTATTAAACTGTTGGTGAGATGGGATGAGATAATGTAACGCTGACGTAGGCTCCAGAACAATGACAGTTGCACAGATGTGTGCGTGTGCAACTGTAGTACATGTTGGGAGTTGGGAACCGGTGAGAAAATGTCCGGTACCCGGTAAATTTACCAGTAATAATATTAATTTAGTTCAGCTTAACGGTTCCTGAACGCTGTAACTAAAAGCTGTCAGGACCTAGCTGTCTACGTGACTAAATCAGCCATCGACACAGCCGCGGGTGATTTGTTTGCATACGAGCTGCGGTAAGTCTATAGATCTGTTGTGCGTGTGTGTGTCAAAATCAATATATAAAAAGATTTTTTTAAAATGTATATTCTAAGAGTTATTATTACTTATATTGATTTCGTTAATAACTTGACAGCACTTAAATGTGTACAAGTTAAAGAACAATATTGTGAAATTCCCGTTTTTCACCTTTAGGCTATGAGGCAAAAAAAAAAAGGCTGGTAAAAAGTCTCTGTGGCAGGTGAATTTTGATATCCACCTGCCACAGTGGCTGGTGGCCAAAAAAGTTAACTTCAGGCCCTGGACTTGAGCAATGATTTCATCATAAATTGCAAAGAACAGTAAAGATATAGTGCATCTTCTGTGTACATTGTTTGTACTCGCCACAACTTTAGTTTAAGTTCATTAGGTTAATTAAATCCATACCATTTCCGCTCAAGTTTCTTTATTCTTGCTTTTATTTTATTGGAAAACCTCTATAAGTTCCTTTTGACATAAGCTACTTGCCTGAGGTTGCCTTCTTGATCAGTCTTTCAAACAATAGATTTTAATACCACATGAAAGTTTCTGCTTGTGATAAAATGTCACCCTGCTTGTTATTGAAGCCAAAAAAAGCTTGGTCTTCTCTCACCTCAGTCACAACCCCCTGCCATCTTTCCTGGTTCTGTCTCTCGCCTCATGTTCTGATAAAACACTCTCCATTTATCCAATCCCACTTAACCTATTGTCCACCCATTTTCTGCCTTTCTCAGCCTCTGTCTCTGGCTTTAATGCATTTTCCCACCCACAACCTTTCTGCTCTCTCTCTCTCTCTCTCTCTCTCTCTCTCTCTCTCTCTCTCTCATCTCTCTCTCTCTCTCTCTCTCTCTCTCTCTCTCTCTCCTCTCTCTCTCTCTCTCTCTCTCTCTCTCTCTCTCTCTCTCTCTCTCTCTCTCTCTCTCCCTCCCTCCCTCCCTCTGCTATTCTGAGTCTCACACTTATCATATGTAATAATATGAGTCTAATGTGAAGGTTTCTTGCCCTCTCAAACTGTTGCAGACACATGATAATGGAGCTTAGCGTGTGGAGGAAAGTGATGAACACGTAAAGCATATTTTTCCTCTCCCCAACGAGTGCCAGATGGATATTCACTGATAACTTCATCATCTGGGAAGAGAACAGGTAGGCATGTAGGAAAATTATCCAGAGCTTCAACATTGGCCTCCGTTATTTTTTCACAGTTGCCATAGAGTTGGCATTTGAAGGGTTGGCTTTGCAACCAGCTGAGTCACCAGAAAGAATGAAAGAAAAGGGGAACAAATAGAAAAAGAATCCTCTAATGCCTCGTTTCCACTGAGCGGTACGGTACGGTACGGTACAGTTCGGTACGCAATTATTTGCGTTTCCACTGTCAAAAGTTGTGAATGGTACCAAAAAGCCGAACCGTACCGTACCACTTTTTGGGTACCCTTCCGTTGTGGTACCTAGCACAGTGGTACGGTACTAAAAGGTGGAGCTAGACTCACTGCAGAACGGTGATTGGTTGACAGAGTATTGTCACTTGCGCGTGCTACAAGGGCATTAGAAGCATACAGTTAAAATATAATACTACGGTTATTGTGTCACGAAATGTAGTTTTAAGAGTTTTTCAGGCGAGAAAGTAGTTTTTTTAAAGCTCAAATCTGTGGTTTATTTATAGATTTATGATAATTTGAAGATCCATTCCAAGCAATCACCGGACGCTCGAGCGCTCGTGCACCCCGCCTGAGCAGCCTTTCCCCGGCTAGCCGTTCTGATGTTTGCCGCTGACTCTGACGTCTCTGTAGTGGTTAAACATGAGATATAATTCGCCTTGTACAGACCTAACAGGCGATCTTTGGTCTCGTGAATCTATAATTCGTTCCCTGGCCAATAGTTTTGGCAGAAGGCTAAGTGAAGTTTCATATATTTGAGCGCTGAATTTGTATATTTGACTGAATTGTTTGCTTTGTTATTAAAGCTTTACTGTATATATTTTTGTACCCTTTTACTTATACTTTTATAATGGCTATTATTGATAAAACTGAAATTCAACAAAAATAGATAGTTTTGTCATTTATTTTATTTTATTACAAGATCATCTGTAATGTTGTTTATTGCAACATTTGTACCAATGAAATATGCAATACATTGCCTGGAATATGTTTAATATTTTTAAATTTAAACGAAAAGAGGCAGGATTGTGTTTTATATTTAGTTTTGTTATAAATATAACGTTACATGCAGTGAATATAATCAATATAGGCTATGCGTTGCCTGAACCACGTTTGTGTGCTTATAATGTTTAAAATGTATTTAAATTAAATCGAAAAGAAGCAGAGTGGTGTTTTATAACATATTTCGTTTTATTGTTGCCTAAAATGTACATAACCGGAGTAGCAGAGCGAGCTGAGTGGCGCTTTCAAGAACGCGCTGTTCCATCAGCAGAATTACTGGACTCGCGTCCTCGGGATCATTCTCCTGAGTCGGACTTTGCGTGGCTACTTGGTATTGAGAAACGCCTAATGCCAGCGCTTGTTTCTTGTGACAAACATCCCGAGAAGCAAGAACAAGATCTGCTGTCTGTCATCCATTGTTGTTTACTATGTCGTTTTTGTTCGCGCGAAAATGACGTCGATCGCTTCTCTCCGGCAAACACCACGCCTATCAAGTAGGGTACTGTTGGCAGTGGAAACGCGAGCCCCGATCATGGTTTAGCGACCCGACCCGAACCGTACCGTACTGAACCGTACCGTACCACTCAGTGGAAACGAGGCATAAGGGTACTCTGTTAAATGAATCAAGCGCTCAGGGGATTGATTGGCCAGTTGATTGCATTGTGTTCGTCAATGCACTAATCAGTCAAATTGAACTGGAACCACACTGTTACCTGGTGAGATTCTACCGCTTGATTCAGTCTGAACATTATATCATCACTTCGTTGGTTACCTATAAAGTTCCGTATTAATGACAAGGGTATTGCTTTTGACTTATAAAGCTCTGAATGGTTTAGCTCCAGTCTATTTAACGGATCTTCTATCGCCCTATAATCCATCGCGCTCTTTAAGATCACTAAATTCGAGGCTTCTGGTCATTCCTAGGATATCCAGATCCACCAAAGGAGGGAGAGCATTTTCACATTTAGCTCCGAAGCTCTGGAATAGCCTTCCTGATATTGTTCGTTGCTCAGACTCGTTCTCCCAGTTTAAAACTAGACTAAAGACGCATCTATTTAGCCAGGCATTCAATATACAATTTTTATCTTACAGTTACTGTAAATTCGGCCTCTACTTCATAAACGCCAGAGAACTGGCCCCGACTGAGCCTGGTGTATCTCCAAGGTTTTTTTTTTCTCCATTGGGTCATCTGAGGGAGTTTTAGGACACCATCGGGTCACTTGATGGAGTTTTTTCGGTTCCTTGCCACTGTTGCCTTTGGCTTGCTCAGTTGGGGATATTCAAATTAAATGACCCATCATACCACTGATCAGCTCTACCAAACTTGGATGTCTTTTTTCCAGTAATAAACAAACACTGTTAAGTCGTTTTGATTGATACTGTGAAGCAGCTTTGATACAATCTGTATTGTGAAAAGCGCTATATAAATATATTTGACTTGACTTGACTAACATTAACCAAGTTGAAGCCTCCTTAACCAGACGGCAAGCACATGGATCACATACAGTCCGTTTACTGAGCAATTAATTGAAATGTAAAGAAATTCATTCTTTTTTTTTTTTACTATTCTTTTTATTGTTGGCTCAATAAAGCCTTATTTGAACGTTTTGAAATAGTTGAAGATATATATATCGTTAATAGTTAATAGTGAGAACTGGATGCTAATCTAAAGTGTGACATTTCATCATATTTTGTGGACCAGGGTAAAAAAATAAAAACGTTCTCAGAATGCATTATGCGTGTTAAAGTCCTTTGAATTGCAATTTAGGAAATTCCTTTTCCTGTCATTTCAATTCAAATTACATTTCAACTTCCTGTGGCTTGCGGCTGACTCAATTCAAGGATCATGAATCGAAAAGAAGCCAATTCTGAATTTTGTTCCAATCTGACTGGTTTTACACAACTTCCAGAAGTTGGGAGCACAGTCTTTTATCAGTCTGCTAGGAACTTGAAAATGCAGGATTCACGTCATCAAAGGTATAGTGTTTTCAGGCACTTTTTTAGTACGAGGTTAACTACATATTCCTAAACATTACTTTATATTCTTTGTTGTTTTCTGAGTTTATGTGAAATTAGATCTACTTATTACTTGTATATGGACTGATATTCTTTGCATTGCACTATATTATTGTGGCATCATTGATTTCAAATGTACCCACCCTTAAATGGTAAGTAAAATAAACTGTGGTTGGCCTAAATGTCAGTAAGACAGCTTAATGTATAGCTTTGCAAGACTAAAGTCTCCTTGACCACATAGAGTGATTTATCGTCCTCTGGATAAACCACTCTTGTCAGAAGTACCACATGAAAGTATTACAAAGTCTCAAACCTCTCATTCTTTCATCTAAAGGTGACCTATGCTCAAAGAGCTTGATTTGAGGGGGTTTTTCGGATCCACAATGTGCCACAATTCTTAGTCTGTCATACTTTATTGTTTTCAAGTGACTTTGGTTTTGATAAACCTTTTAGGATCTATGAAGAATGACAATTTGAAAGATAAGCAAGCTCCTTTTCAAAGAGAAAAACGACATCTGAAAGTGAGAGCGGGAGAGCTGGCAGCTGACGCAAAGCGTCTCATTTTCTTGTTTAAAGTTACAGTGCGCTCTGAGTTAACAAACCATGGGATTGAGCCTTCCCACCACGCTGCCTGCGCGCACATGCATACTCTCCTGCACACACACTTAGCTCGCAAGCCTTTGTTCTGCAACCTTTTGTGAAGCTTGCCCTGGATTCAGCAAAGCTCTATGCTGTAGAGTGAGACTAAAGAAGTCTCTCTCTCGTTCTCCCCCCCCCCCCCCCCCCCCCCCCCCCCCAACGTTCAGTCTGGCTCTCTTTGTCATCATTTTTTTTTTCAGTCTCTTCACCTGACTTTAGCAGTCTGCCTCTTTCTTTCTTTCTCTAACAAAATAAAACACTCACGCTCTGAGCGTTTGCCAGCATTTGGTGGGATAATCTTCCTTCCTGAAGATTTGGCTGCTCTTCTCCTTATCACTATGGGCTCATCAGAGCATAAGCAGCTCTTGGCTTTCTACCAGTGTGAGAGAACCACTTTCCAAACAGGAACTCTTATGGAGACATTCCTTGTGTGGAAAAGGAAATCGTGTCCTCCATTCCCCCCTCATTCTCCCAGAGCACATACGCACACACATGAGAAAAAAAGCCTCCATCTTTGAGTTGACATTACTGAGTGAGAATCTGACCAGCAGAAGTTTTTTCATACTCAAAAAGGCATTTCCGGCATCTTGAAAACACAACATTTGTGTATATTAATATATCTGTATATACACTGCCCGGCCAAAAAAAAAGTCTCTGTTTGGATTTAAATAGGGCAAATGCTTAAGAGTCAATGATTGGGTCATTATTGCAGTGATTATTATGTTGCATGTTATATGCTTGGCAACAGTTCTTCAAACTCTAATAGATGGAGTGTGTAGCTTGTAGGACGACACATCATGGCCATATCAGGCTCAAATTGTGAATGAATGGTTGGGAGGAGCATGGAGAATCCTTTTCACACATGAATTGGCACCTCTGAGTCCAGACCTCAGAAAGTCTTTGGGATGTTCTGGAGGAGACTTTACAGAGTGCTGGACTCTTGCATTGTCAATACAAGATCTTGACCAAAAATGTATGCACCTCTTGATGGAAATAAATGTTGTGATGTTATTTCCATCAAGAGGTGCATAAATGTGACAGATAGATAGATAGATAGATAGATAGATAGATAGATAGATAGATAGATAGATAGATAGATAGATAGATAGATAGATAGATAGATAGATAGATAGATGATAGCGATATTTTGCTTCGATAGTCTCTTGCTAAAGGTCTAAATCATGGTGATAGTGTGGGATCCTAAAAGAATGTGCATTTCAAGTATGCCTGTCATTGGAGCCCTTCATTTGGTAGCGTGCCAGCTAAAAGCTCAGGCCAAATTTTGTTTTGAATCAGTTAGTGCTCTGGAAAAAAAGTGCATAAATTTCCCAGTGTCAGTGCCAGATATGCATAAATGGTCAACCACATCTGTCTCAAGAGACAATGCGGGTTGTAAGTAGCTCAAATGTGTCACAAACACTGTGTTTACTGATCAGTGAAAACCTTTTTGAAGTCCAACACAAGCACATGAACACACAATGAGTTTAGCCAACAAGAAGCTGCCTTAGGGGCGGCAGCCAGATGTGTTTTATCTGTAAGGTGAAAGGTCAAGTAGAACAAATTGCATAAACTCATTCCCAGTAGCAAGAACACTATCCACAGGGCTGCAGATACACCTCTGATTTTCTTCTGGTTTCAAATACAATATACGAAATGAACAGACTCCACTTTGCTTCTTTACTACTTCCCCTTAACTCATACCAATAGAAAGAAAACGTGCTGCGAGTGTTAAGTGCGACAGGTACGAAAATGGAAGCAAAGGTCAGAGTTGTGCTGTGCATCAGAGGTAATTGTCGAATTACTGGTTCGAAACTAATCAGGGAACATGAACCAAACACAAACAAAATGATAGAAATCTAGAGGTCACCCTGATTTTGTCCTTGAGCCAGGCATATAATGCTCTTTTATTTTTAGAATACATTGGCCCCATCTGATTTAAACTGATTCATAATGTGTTTTATTTATCCTGAAAACAAACATTTTAAATGAATTGAAACATCCTAAAAGCAAGCAGGTCAAATAAAAGTGGCTTTTTAAGTGCCATTCTGGTGCTAATGGAGATTCAGTCCTGTTTTCATACAGTTTGTGTTTTGTGATCATGCTCTCTGTAGTTTTTTTCTAAGATATTTTTTGCATTTTCTGATAAAATCCACAATTTGTTTCTTGAAAGAATCATACATTCTTGAAAATTCTACACGGAATGAAATTATTACAAATCCTGAGATTTCCAGGCACATCTGGCACAGTTTTTGAGAACGGGGCACTTTCCTATTGGGGCTAGAAAACTCATGTTCTATTAATCACATTTTTATCGCCAATGTGTGAACAGCTTGTAATGAAACTTAAAAAACTATGTCTTCTCTGACTTCCTAGATTGTCAAGGAAAGCAGACTCATTTTTTATGTGAAGGACTCGGAACGCTTTTGCCTGGAAAATCAAAAGAATGTGATGCTTACTCGTGCATGCAAGAACCTCTCTTCCGTTCTGTGACACGTGAAATGTTGATACAACATTCAGGATAATGCAGAAAGAGCCATTCACTATCATGTCAATGTGTCATGCAAAGAAAAGGGATTCCTCTCATAGTCTGTCAAATATACTTTAGTATATTTAGTTTAATATAATCATTAATAGTATTAACAATTACAAATATATACAATATTAATTACAATATAAATGAGAAATAAATACGTTTTAAAATACTTATCTAAAATATGAACATCCTGAGCCATTTGAGTGAACCAAAAAAGAGAAAGTTTAACTTTTTATATTTCTTTTTAAAAACTTTTTCTTTGTTAAAACCCATGTATCCAAACACTGTAGGCTGTTCAAATGTATCATCAAAGAAAGGTTGACCCACCACATTGAGAACAGAAAGAAACCATGTTCTCGGTTTCTGTCTATTTCATCTGTTCGCTAGAATCTCAGTTCTGATCGCAGCATTCATCTGAGTCATCTTTCTAATTCTGAGTCATCTTTCTAATTCACCCACTCCCACATCACATCTCATCGTTCGTGAGCTACAAATCTGTGACATCAATCTGGTACCACAGAGGTGACAGCCAAATGTACTGTTCTAATTTTAAGACATCACAGGCAAGCTCTAAATTAAGGATCTGACAGGTTCTTACAACTTTTCTACAAGTTCTCTGCATTCAGTTATGAATCAGGTTTTGAAGCAGAGTGTGAACTTGAGGTTTGAAAGCTCAGGTAATTAGTAGCCTACTGTGTAATATTTCATGTTTCGTCTGATGTGACTAAACATTTTGACAGCATCTGTGTTGTATCTAGTATATTTACAATTGTGTGATTCTAGTATCATTTTCTTACTGTATTGGTCTTTTGAAGCTCTTGGCTTTTCCGAACCTTAGACGTTTGTATTCTCAGCTGTCCTGGATTTTGTAAGGAACCATGCAAAGAATTCCAGATCAAACCTCCAATCAACATCAGCCGGTAGAAAACTTGCAAGAGTCTGTCATGAAGTTGCAACAGAGAATCCAGCAGCACATGGAGAGAAAAGCGGGCACAAAGGGGCTGGAACCCCAGAGAGCAGCTAATGATTCACATTTCATATCCCCCCACACAGGGGCCCTTGTGTCTACCATGAGGGGCCTCTTCGAGCGTTTGTTTTCACTGTGAAATCCAAAATAAATGGGAGCCGCAGATGAGGACTGGACACTTGAGAAATTGAAATCATGAAGTCCGTAAGAAAAACGCTAAAAACCCTCATATCATCGTCTTTTGCTCATTACGTGTGTGTTCCCTTCATGATCTCTGGCTGTGTGGTGATTGGATGGTAGTATGTGTTTCGCAACAAGAGAAACTGGTGTCAATTGTGTTTATACTTAGAACTTGTTGTATCCTAAGGCTGCCATGCATGTATTTTGGCACAATTAGATTCTGGTCATGCTTGTCAAAGCAGATAAATAGTCATGACATACAAAATATCAATACGCTGATGTCAGGCATTGATTTTGGCATTGATCTCATGTGTTCATTCGTTTATAAGTTCAGCATTTTAACTTAGGCATGAAATAAAAATCCATCCTCTATTTGGTCAACCAATTCAAATCAATTGATTTTCTTTTTTTTTCTTTTTTTGAGCTAATTTTTAATCAAAATATAACTCGATCTTCTGGTGAAACTTTTCTGAAGACTGTTCTGGTATGGTTTTCTATGGCAACAGTAGCCTATCAATGCCTAAATGAATCTGATGCGGTCTGGTGGTACAAGTAAGTTGTAATTACAAGTTCTACGAGGATGTGAATGCTTCTTGCAAATTGGAATCTCGTAATTACAACATGGCGTGAACACACCTTGACATATGGCAACAATTGCCATGTCCAACTTGTTTTTGTTAATCTGTTTCACTCTACGCACAATTACAGAAGAACATGTCGTTACTTCTGTTATGTCACGACTTTAACAAGTAGCCTAGACAGGCTAAATATTAAAAAAATATATATTTGTGACATCAAAAACAACTTAAAGTAATAATAATACATGAAATATTCTTTTTATGACTAATTAAGCCTAGTTATTTTATCAAAAAGCAGAAATAAAATAATTAACAACAGGTTCTTCAGTCAGGCTTTCAAACACTTAAAAATATATAGCTGTAAAAAATGTCAGCTGCTACAATGGTAAACTTGTTGCACACTGAAGACTTAAAACTGTGGTTATGTGGCCATTTAGTCCTTGCATTTCCATGGCTTACTTTTATATATGATTTGAGATGGTAAACCACAAGACAAAGTAAACTCCTGTATTCTTCAGCATAAGGTGTCCCAAGTTGAACTTGACTTTTCTCCCCATATATCCCAACTCAACACACACTTCCAAGTGCTGCTGTTGATATATAGCAGAGTCATTAAGTCACTCTCACTGCTGCTTTCTCTCACTTCGACAGGCACACAGTCTAATTACGTTTGGCAATCGGAGAGTGTAGTAGTATTACTCTATCCGTGCCGATTATTTCTGGCGAGAGTTTTAAACCGACGACAGCGGTGATTGGGCGGCGCAGTCACGGGGTCCGCAGTCTCTTCGCCCTGCCTAGAGTCAGTCAGTCAGTCGGGGGAAGGCAAGACTGCCTGCAAGCGCTTCTCTCTGTGTGGATCCACCATACACACACATATACGCTCACACGGACCTTCACACACAATTATTGTTAATTACTGAACCCTTTTCGGTCTTTTGAGAGTCTGTTTTTCCACCATGGGCGACAAAAAGAGCCCGACCAGGTAAGAAAGCGTCAACAGTCGGTAGTTTCCGAGGCGATTTTGGTGACCGCGCGGCTGTTTTTCGCTCGGTGGACATTCGGATGCTTTTCTCGAGGAGTGTTTCTCCTTTCTCTCAGAAACAAGCGCAGCTATGGCGGCTTTCTCTTCTTCTCATAGGACTCTAAACACTTCTCAGTGCCTCTCAGACAAAGAGATTTTTCTTCCTACGGGATACGCCTGGCCTCTTCGGACGGGGTTTTTGGTCGAAGTTCAACGTTAAATGGACCGTTTTGACATTCAATTTCACGCCGTTCACCGACGCGATATCTTTAGCTCGCTGGCTAATGTTAGCTGTCGTGCCAGCGGACACCAATCTAGAGAGTGTATTATATATGTGTTAAGCCCGGTTACTAGGAGCTGTGGAGAATAACCGTGGCTAGTTAGCTGGTTAGCGTGCATTTCCAGTATTTTCCGGTTCTAATAAACCGCCCTCGCGCGTCACGGGTCGGATTTTCTGTCACTTTCTGTGCCACTTTGGTTACGTTAAACGAATTCGAGACAGTAAAAGTAGGGGTGTAGGATGTTAGGGGGGCAAACATGGAGGTTGACCTTTGTAATTTGGGCTTCTTTTTTTGTTATTTAAGGCCAAAAAGACAAGCCAAACCGACAGCGGACGACGGATTTTGGGACTGTAGCGTGTGCACTTTCAGAAACAGTGCCGAAGCCTTCAAATGCAGCATCTGTGATGTACGGAAGGGCACGTCTACCAGGTATGGGCATTTACACTGGACTTTTGCAGCATTGCAATTCTTCTCTCATCCTCACTAATGCAGCTGATTGTAATGCTTTACTTGTTGATTTGCTCTTTAAGATTCATTGAAACACCAGTCCTCTCATGCAAGTTAAATGTCATTTCTTCAGTCTGATGACTGGCACTAGAATGGAGTGTGGCAGCCAGCCCGTGCAGTCGCTGCAGTGATAGGCAAACTTTCTTTGTCCTGCATTAGCTTGAACACAATTTATTGCATTGGATTTTCGCGCAGATGCTTTCACTGCAGCTCCATGGTCATGCATGCTTGCAGATGCATACCTGCTATTGCAGTGCTGCAGTGTTTGCATGTGTGGCTCGAGTCAGATTTCCATTTTAAATCCATGGCTGGCGTTTGTTGGGTTTGATCGAAGGCATTTAATGTCTGGGTGTGTTTAGAATCCGTCAAACTGTTTTAGAGGCATTTGCTGTTCAGATCAAGAACGGGAAACAAATTATCTTGGGTTTCCTTTCTTATTAAAGCGGTTGCAACAGTTTAAAGGTCAGTCAGCTGTCAGAAATTCTTCAGGATGTGCCATTTGTTTTGACACATCTGCAAGTGTAACAATTTCTGCTTGATTTAAGAATTAGACTAACATGGTGCTCACTTGAAATAAAGCTTAGGGCGAAGAAGCAGACGTTAATGTTGTTTTTCTGGTTTGGCTAATTGAATGATTTCATTACTCTAATTTCTACGCTGCTCATTTGGAAGTTGTCACTAACAGGTCTGGGTGTGCTTGTCCATTCATAAAGGTCATTTATTCCAGTGGTTCTCATTCTTTATCCTGGAGGTCACTCTTATGTGACCTTTAGTTTAGGATGTCTGGATGTAACATTTGCTTATCATCTGTGGTGTTAAAAAAAATTAACCCTGAGGATCAACTATTCTAATGGCTTCTAAGCTCCTCATAGGATGTCAAAGTGACTACATGCTGTACGCTCCAGTATCCATCTATTATTCGCCTGCTGTTTCATTTTTCTTATTTGACCATGCAATATATTTGATGTACTGCGCATACTATATTTCAGGCTAGTACGCGGATCATAATTTAGGTGTTAAATAAGGGGTACTACTCCAGAACCAGGATTGAGAACCACTGATTAAATCGACAAATGAATGTGTTCGGTTTGCCTGAAATGCCATCGTGGTTGTATTCCTGTAAGCGTATGTAGCTGTGTATCCTCAGTTACGTATGTTCTACGTCTGTCTGGCCTGCGCTGTGTTTGTTATGATGTGTGAACCCGCCAACACTTCTCATCAGCTGACTGATGTGGTGTCTACAGCTATGAGTAATATGCGGCTGCACGCAGTAATCCCCAAGCTCTAACCTTTTCATCTGCTCTTTTACACCCAGTGCTTTTCTGACATTTGGGGGAAAGAAGAGGTGTCGGGAGAAGTCAGACACTCCAAAGCGGCGTATTTGTCAATAACGATTAGTCAATTTATAATATTCCCTTCGAAAACCCAGCTTAGCTCATGGATCTGTTTGCAGAAATCAGGCGCATTACGTTCATAGTAAAGACAGGAAATGATGCCATGCGCTTCGGAAACCCCTCGTCTCACTCTCTGGCAGGAGCCCAGCTCCTATCATTCTGCTAAATAGAAATCGCACGATATTGCTGATGAGAGCCGCTCTGTCTCTGTTTGATCTGCGCTGTCAAGCTTTGATGGATGCGATTGTTTGCTGATGTAAGAAGCCTGGCTCCCTTTGTAATGAGGACTAATTAGCCATCTTGTCCACGTTTGATGTATTCCAGTGGTGCACGGGGGGGAGCGTGGGGTGCTTGCAGAGAAACGATGCGCTCTCTTACAAGGGTGCAGCAGTTTAGGCTCCCATCTCAGCACCTTTTATCTCTGTTTCCCTCAGTGAATGGGTCTTTGTGGTGTGATAACGCATTCCACTCACCAATTATTTTATCTTTGTTGGTCTTTGGAGTTCAAAGAATGCAGCAGCCCCCTGTGCAAGGATGTATGTAGATTAGCAATGCATGTTTGTTTGTTTTTTCGTCATATAAAGAAAGTCTGGGGATGGTTGCTTCAAAGACTTTATCTGATTCCTGAGCACATTATGATCAGGCGGATTGATTATTTTCATGCAGCATGCCGCGAACGTGGCTGCAGGAGAGTGTGCATGGTGTCGGGAGACTTTTAGGATGATAATTAAAGGCAACTTTTAGGGATAAATGTTAATTGAGCATAACAGATTCTCTTTTGCTCAACTGAATCACTAACAGACCTCATAAAGGTTTGGATGTTCACTTATAGACCGGGCAATTTGACGCTCGACAGTGTGCTAATGAAGTATTGAATGAATTATATGTATGGCTTTCATGCTCGTCTATCCGCAACTTGCAGGATTGTATGATTTGGATGATATCTTTGCCGGAGGGCATGTCTCTCGTTGTTTTTTTCCCACACAGCAGCTGCACACTTCATAAATTCGTTCGCTTTGTGTTGCCATGGCAGTAGAGGTTATCTAGGGTTATGCTACTGTCAACCCAGCAGAAATTTATCCTGAATCACTGTGGCCTTGTCGCATGATATGTTAGACGTGTGGTCTATATTATTTGTGAGGTAGCACTTTTGGATTCAAGTTGCCTTAAGATGGCTTTAATCTTCCGTTCTTACTAATCTGAACAAAAAAAAAACACCCGGCCTCAAGCAAAACTTCAAAACGATCTTCTTTCCTCTGAGCCCAT